CTTTTGCGCTTTCCACAAAGTCAACGTTCTTGGCGTTTTCGCAGCTGCTTCACCAATGCCAGCAGCACTGTGCCCGTGTCCCTAGATAGGGCGTTGGGCAAAGGGGGGCAATGTGTGGTGCGGGGGCCAGCAACATTGGGGGCTGGGCTGTGCAAGATTGCGGCACATGTGACGCTGTGGTCGCGTGCTGCTGCCTCTCCATGTTGGCTGACTTGATGCCTGGCTGCCGCCTGGCCCTTAGCCCTTGGCCCCTTGCCCTAGGCAGAACCCGCCGAGTTCGACTGAAGGCAACTTTTGCCGCTTGCGCTTCATTTGAGTTTGCTGCTGCAATTGGCTTGGGCGAGGGCAACTGCTGCTGTGCAGCCTGCTCTTATCAAGAGCAGGTCATCAAGATGCGGGGTAAAAATGGCAGCTGGGAGGCCATAGAAAGTGTTACTTCAAAAAAATAATATTTATTTTTATGGCCAAAGTTTGCCAGAAGAGTTTCATCTCGATAGCATTTTATCGATAACAAACTGAGCTGTTGTTGTTGCCCTGCGATTATTCAATACTACTGCCCCAATGACTTAAGCTCTGCTATAATCCAGCCTATCCCCCCGTCCCACAAATTTCTCTCTCTCTCGCTCGTGTTTAAGTGACTGAAGGCGAGCTCTTAATTTAACGGTAATTTGTGTCGAACAGACAGCTCAGCTCGCATCTTTGTCATGCCCAGCCCCCGTACTGCTGCCCCCGCCCAGCGTTCGTTTCACTCTACTGCGTTTGTTCTCCGTTTGCATTGCGGCTGCGCAGCCGCTGCGCAGGCTTTTCTGCAGCAGGCGCACAATTTACAGTTGTTTAGCCACAGCAGCGGCAACGCCTAATTGGTTCTTGTTGTTGTTGCTCCTGTTGTTTTTGTTGTTGCTGCTGCTACTTATTGTAAATATGAATTATTATTTATTTTTATTGAAGCGGGCGGCGGCGTTTTCGTCACATTTTGCGTGGCTGCCGTCAAATGCAAAAATTTATTTGTTTTCATTGTTGTTGCTGCTGTTCTTGTTGTTGCTGTTGCGAAATTGTGTAATAAATAATTTACGCTCGCTTTTGCAGCGTGCCACATAATCATATTCAATAAAAACAACAACAACAACAACAGCAACTGCAACAGCAGCAACAGCAGCAACAACAACTGCCATAAACTTGGGTTGGGCATTGGACACTACTTCGCATACTCCTCGATCCCCCTCTTCCCGCTGCCCCACGGTTCACTCAGTAACTCTGTTTACTGCGGCTGCCTCGTTTAACTCTTTGGGTCGCTGACCCAGAAATGTCAACGGGGAAGTCTTTTAATTCGTACACATCGTTTATATACATTCATACATTCATACATACATACATACGTGCATGCATACATACATATGTATATGTTATTATTATTTGCTTTAATTTTGTCAAGTGAGCTTTAAATAGTGATTTAAATTTATTTTTGACATTAATATTTTTATTATTATTGCTCAACGTTCTTTCTGCATATTTCTGTTAATCATAATTGAGAAGGTGTCGCACATTTAAAGTATAAAAAGCAATTGTGACGTCAGTTGTTTTCTTAAAAAATTAAATTACGAAGGGATTGTGTAGAAATTTTTTCAGCTTGCTTTTTATGCAGTAATAAAACTTTTGCACCTACATACATACATATGTATATTTCGATTTGTCCGCGTACCCACAATTGTTAGCTGAAAGCAATTAGTTTTATTGATTGGAAATATACAGATCTACATATATATAGTGAGAACTCTTCTAACGAACACTCCTGTCACATACAGACATACATATGTATGTATTTTTTAATCTTATGGATTTATTACATTGTATCTAAGCCAGTTACAAGTGCATACATACATACATACATACATAGCTTCTAATATCTACACGCTGTTTTGTCCAACATATACTATCTTCATACTTACATATGCTTATATGTACATACATAAGTATATATTATTAGTAATGCATATATTATTAAGTTATTCGACTAAATCCTGCTACATAGTCCAACCTGTACCTGTCTTTGTCTAACGCCCTTACCTATTCCTTTGTCACAGCTTCCTTGAAATTACGCTACATATACATGTACATACATATACATATACATATGTATGTACATACTTATGCACATGAAATAGAAATAATAAAAATTTAGGGGGAAAAAAAGTAAATCTCAGGCAATTTGCGACCGCATTGCTCTCACATTACGCTTAATCAGTTTCATTGCAAAAACAAAAGAAATCAACAGGCAGCTGCAACAACAGACCCGGCCCATACATACATATGTAACACCAGTTCTCCAGGCCATACACCGATACAACTCCCCCCTTCCCGCCAAGAATCGTAGTCAAGTAATTGGAATCCCTAATGAAAAAGCTTTGTGATAAAGCCAGCAAAAACCAAACGAAAAAAAAAACAAATCAAACTAAAGCAAAACGAGGCAGAGTATAAATTATAACAAGTAAGAATGTTGCAATCGGGTGCAACCGACTGCGCAATACTCGTTATCAGTTCAATTACAGTTTTAAACGCGTTAACCGTCAAATTGATAAGGCGTTTCCGATTTGCCACGCCCCATCGCTAGCTGCTGCAGCGCCCAAAAAAGTAGCCGACATCAGGGCAGCAGGACGAATGGACTCCTAGACGAACATGGAGTAAATCGAATATACCCCACTCACTTTGTGATAGAGTATAAAAAGCGAGCCCCTTTTTCTGTGCAGTGCTGCCCTCTCCTCTTCTCTTCCTCTTTGAACCTCTTCGCTTGTTGCATGCGCATTCATGTTCATGTTTTTGAATTTCATCATATTGGGCAATCCTTGCATCACGCGATACGTTATGTGTGTCTCTTATCTTTATTTTTATTGTTACGGCTTTATCGGCGTTTTCTTTACCTTCTCGACCTTCTCTAAGTTGTGCAGTAGAAAAAGTTGTAGAAACTTTTTCGTATAACTTTTCGCTGTGAATTTCAGTTAAGTCAATCTAAATCAATCTATTTCTTATGTACAAATACATACATACATATGTATGTACATATAACTGTTAGATCGTGTTCTTTAGCAGATCTGTCAGTTAAAAAGTCTGGATGAAAATACTTACATAGCACGGACATATTATGTACGTACATACATACAGATGTATGTATGAATATAAAGAATAATAATAAAGAATAAAAAGAACACAAATTTAGAACAAAGAAAGTTCTTATTATTTATTCGTATTAAAATAGATGTATACAATACATATGTACATATATGTACATGAATAGAGATCAGCTGTGTTGGACTCATGGGGTTTATTGATTTTAGAACTTAAACTAACTAAAATCCACTTCGTATTATTTTTTTTAATTCCTTTCGCATGTAGTTTCGCGCGCGCAACATAAATCTAAGAGCGCAGAGAGAATGATTTAGCATAATTTGAGAGCCTGTTATTAAAGGGTACGATTGTGGCTCAATGAAACAGGTTTGGAGCGCTTTAAGGATATGGTGAAATTGTTCAGAATGTGACAGTATGGAGCAAATGGGGCTTAAGAACTTAGAATTAACGATATATGTATGAACATATTTCACTGATCTGAGAATCTGTAAATAAAGCTTATCAAGAAATACATAGAAATACATACATATACATTAACATAAAATAAAACCTTTGCTATATGCATACTGTAATTTCGTCAGGAAAAAATATTAGTGCCAAGATAACTACTTTTTAACTACCTTTTTTCTACTACCTTTTTCAGTTCGCGTACTCTGCTACACTTTTTGGCGCGTAAACTCAGCTCAATCGCTTCCAACCTCACTCGTTATACCACGTACTTGCAGTATATTGGGATACTTGAAATACAATCTTGTCTAATTGAAAAATAAATAAGACCAACGAATTCTTCCGGATAATCTTATAAAAGGAAATTCGGAATGCGTCCATGTGCCCAGGTATATATGCATTTAAATTATGTTTATAGCATATCTAACAGTCGAGCCAGCTCGTACTGATTTATTTCTAAGAGCAAAGCCTTTACTCTCGCTCGTTTCGTGTTCCTTTCTTGTTGTTGTTGTTGCTCCATGACAAAACGCCAACAACAACAACGACGCAGACTTTGTGCCTGCAATCGCATTTTTTGTTTTGCTTCGACGTTCGCTGCTCTGCCGCGTCGCTGTTTGTTGTTGCTGAGTTACCTGCTCAACAAGATCTTTGTGCTGCCTCGCACTCGCACTCGAACAGGCACACACACAGGCGCACGCTCAAGCGGACACAGACACGCCGCCTACTCACTCGCTCTCATAGTGAAGAGCGTAACGCTCGCGCTGAATTTTTATTTTGTTTTTGTTGTTTCTTTTTTACTCCGCTCTTTGCATTGTATGAGCTGCGGCGTTGGCGTTGGCGTTGATGTCGATGCCAACGTCGACGTCGACGCTGGGTGCCCCGCTGCGTCCCCAGAGCCAGAGCCATAACTACTCACTACTACCTGCAGCAACATGCATGTGCATAAGCATAAGGCCTAGGCAGTCCGGCTGCACTCTGGAAGTGTGGCAGCGACGCCGCTGCCGAGGCTCTCCCTCTGCTCCCATGCTCGATGCGGTGCTCTTTTAATTTGAGTCGTTTTTTAAACGCGCGTATCTTGCAGATACGCTGCCTCGCATTGCGCCGCACAGCGCATTCAGTTTAGTTCAGTTCAGCCGCGAAGCGAGTAAAGACGTGTTTTCTCCTCAAACCAAGCCAAGTGGAAATCAAATCGCAGTTTGAGTTTGCGACACGTTTTAAGTGCTTCGTGTGTTCTTTCTACGCGACTTGAGAATTTTGAGAATTGTTTGTGTTTTTAAATAAGTTGCGCGAGCTTTATGAAAAATGCGAAAAAATCGAAAAACAAACTAAACAAAAATAATAAAACAAATATCTAAAACAAACTGATTCAATCCTATGCGATAAGTGTAAAAAATAATTTACTAAACAAAGATCATACGATACGACAAATGAAAATAAAAACAAAACAAAAAAACAAAGAATTAAAATACTTTGAGTGTTTGTGCTGCAAAACATTTCTGAAGTTTAACAACCTAAAATGCTGCAATTTTTAATGTTCAAAATATTGCACAAGAAATACAAAATCAATTGAGTGCACGCCCAGAAAAGTGTCACTGAGAGACAGCAGAACAATACGAAAAGCCAAGTCAGAGCAGGACAAAAGTCCCAAATTGAAAATCCAAACCAAACTCCGAAGCACCACACAACAAATTTACGAACTAAACCGGCCCATACACAAATATTCACACACACACCCACACCCACGCACTCACACACACGCACACACATAATGGCCGTGCCCTTTTATCTGCCCGAGGGCGGCACCGATGACATTGCCTCGAGCTCATCGGGCACCTCGGGCGTCTCCTCCTCCTCGTCGGCATCCTCCTCGTCAGGCGCATCCTCATCATCGGGCGTCTCCTCCTCGTCGGGCGCATCGGATGGCGCCAGCAGCGTCGCCTCACAGTCACCCAACACAACCACCTCGGCCACGCAGACGCCGATGCAGTCGCCGCTACCAATGCAAACGGACCAGGTGCTAATCGCCCTCTGCGAATGGTATCAGCAGCACCAGCGACATTACATCAGTCAGGCGAATACCTCGGGTAAGTTTATGGCTAGCAAGTCCTTTGAATATAGTGTCTCCCCCTAAATGGGTCATTTCTTTTTTGTTATTTGTTGTTTTTTTTTTACAGCTCTAATTAGCCAAGTTGCTGTCGTTGGCCACTTGACTGCATTTCCTTCTGTAGGTTTCACTTTTCAAGGTTGTTGACTCATTCCAAGTTTTATGCCCCCGACTATTGTCGTAGCTGCTCAGTTTGTTGAGCCACGTTCGCGATTGTTATTTTTTGCGTATGGTCAGCACATTCCGTAAGCCAGTAAGAAAAACAACAACAACAACAGCAGGGCATCATGTTACCGCATATTCTGTAAGGGGAGGCTTGAAAAACTTGCTTAAAAAAATTAAAATAATGGGCCAGATATTAGACAAAAGAAGTTATTAGCTTCAGAACATACTTAAAATATATACATATATAATACATACATATACTCATTGCTCTTCTCAAATGTGAATGCTATAAAGTTAATCCCACTAAAAAATATCGCATATATATAAACCCATAAAAAACTTATAGTATTTCCCTATTTCCCTTCCCTTACTCAATTCTTTTCTTAATATGCTTTGTGTGATTGCCAATGACAGGAATTGAATCACCTAAAAGTCATTACTATAAAGAGGGATTCCTTTGATAAATATTAATAAAAATGTCGTAGTATTTTCCTTTTTCCGTAATCCTTTCTTTAATATTATTTTCATTACCCAACGGATCATCTGAAAATCAATAATTAAAAGAGGGCTTTCTTTAATATATGTAATATTTATGATTCTTATAGTATTTCCCTAATTTGAAGCGCAGTAAATCCTTTCTTTAGTTTGTCTTGCACCCTACAATGGATTTTTTAAAAGTCAATACTTTAAAAAGGGATTCTTAAAATATATTCTATAATATATATATATATATATATAAATATATGATTATTATAGTAGGTCACTAATTCCTGGCTTGGTTTTTTTTTATTCTTGAATTAGTCATCTCAATTATAAAACATTATTTCGGTCTTTGCCAACCGCATTGCAAAATCTTTCTATTTTAATATTCCCCAATGGATCATTTCCAAATCGATACTTTAAAACGGGATTCCTTTTATTAACACAATTATATTGGAAACTACTTAATAGAAGTTTCCTGTTTGCCAACCGCATTGCTGACTAAATACAGGCTCTATAGCTGCATATGAATCAGCTGTAGACTTATTGTCGGGGCGGTAAAAAACGAACACGCCTCTGATTAGACTTAAGATCTGGCGATACGTCAGTTCTATTGCAAATTTAACGAAATCCAAGTCGATTTTCAAGTGGTAAGCCACAAACTTATGCTGAATGCGGTATTTTATAGCTAAAATAAAAAAAAGCGAAATAAACAAAATAAACGAAACAAAAGGTGGGCGTGTGCTGCTGTTGCTCGAGTGTCCATAAAAAAGAGCTCGGCACGTTTAATTGGCACGCGCCAAAAAAAAAAAAAATAATAATAAAGCGCCAGCTCCAGTTAAATACGTCGATTGCAGTCGAATGTCTTATTCGAATTGTGTATCCATGAGATATGTATCTTTGTATCTGCTTGTGTGTGGCACGTTTCTAGCTGCGGCCAGTTGCTGCGAGCCACTAACCCAAATTATTAAACGCCATTTGACCTTAGGCGCACGTCTGGCCCAGGCACCATTTGCAGTTGCAGTTGCAGTTGCAGTTGCAGCTAGTTTCGGCTGTGTTTACAAAGCATTTGACTTAACGGTAGTTTAAGTAGCCTTTGACTGCGGTCAAAGCATTGTTGCATGTTGCGGTCTCTCTCTCTCTCTCTCCCTCTCTCTCTCTGTTGTCGCGGCTTTTGCGTAATAGACCCGGCCCCTTGTCGTCGCTTGTCAGCTGCGGTTTGTTACGCCGGACACTGAGAATGGCGAGAAAAACAATTTTCAGTGTTTTTTTTTGTGTTTCTTTTATGTTTTTGGAATTGTGTTTTTCTTAGTTTTTTCCTGCCACTGTCAGCAGCTTCAGCTGCGACGCCCCGCGCTGATTATTATTTATGGCCGAGGTAGGCAAAACCTTCGAGAGCTCCCTACCTCGCACGGTCGAGTCATGAGTCACATTTTAGTAGTTGTTTATTAACTGCAATATATATGTCATAGATATGCGCTCTTAACATACGTATATATTGATTATAGCAGTAAAAAGCAATCTTTTTGGCCTGTCCAAAACGCGTTGGCAGTCGCCACCCGTTTGCCTAATTGCCCTGCTCGGAGGAGGTGGTGCAGGGAGGGGGGAGGGTGGCTTTTTAGCTAGGAGGCCTGCCTCTGAGGCCAGCCAGGTAGCCAGCCTGTCTGTCTATCTGTGTGTTGCAATCTGACTTGGCTTACGAGTTTTTGATCGAGCTATCCAGGCACTTGCATTTTCTATCAGTCCATACACTTGGCTGACGCAACACGAATTGCATTTTCGCTAAGCCTTAAAGCTGTTATTAAATGGTATTTCAGGCCAATCCTAGTGCATAGAGTCTTCCCAATTGAATTTCATTCCAATTACATGGCTTGGCTAAACCCAACCCTGCACTCAATTTGGCTTGGCCCTTGTTTGCAGTCGCTGCCCCTCAAGTGCATAATTTATCTAATAGTAACACATTTGAACAACTAGGCAACACTGCTTTGGGCACTTGACAACACTAAGCTAGGCTCGAGCTTAGCCTAACCCTATGCCGTTATGCGTTTAGCTTGATGACGAAACCCTTTCGCACACATCGTTTTTTATATTCATTTTTTGCCGCAGCATCTTCAACGCGCACCCAACTCCAACTCGGGAGAGTCGCCACGTTTGGGACAACGCTTAGTCATCGACGCAAACTACCAACCCCAAAGCCTAAAATATGTGTGTATATAGAAAGTACCAATCCCTCCCTACCCCGCAAAAGCTTCAAGTTCGTCAGCAGCAGCAGCAGCAGCAGCGGCGGCGGCAGCGTTTGGGCGCCTTTTGTGCTGCGGCTGTGCGCCTAAGTTGCTTAAGCGGCTCCAAAAACCCACCCCTAAAATTGAACGCCCGCTGGCGTGGGGCCTAACAAAAGGTGCAATGACAGTGCGGATGGTCCCCCACATCCCCCCGCTACTGCGAGGCACAATCAGGGTAAAAGCGACGCCGTTTTGGCTGTTCCCTTTTGGTCTGGTTATTCGCGTCATTCGACGATTCCTTTCGGCTTGTTGCCAACAGCTGTTGCTGCTAGGCGTTGTTTTTGCTGCCGCTGCCGCTGCCGCTGTTGACGTCGGCGTTGGCTTTGGCAGCTCTGTCGCTCTTGACATTTTCCACCATTTTGTTTTGCTCAGCAACTTCGCAGTCGAGCTAGCGGAAATCAGCGAAGCGCCGCATATACAAAAAAAAATGGCGGCAAACATGGCGACCTTTTGGCGTTGCTTTTCCTGTTCCTGTTCTATTGCTGCTGTTGCTGACCTGGCAACAGCTGACGTCGACTTCTGCATGGGATTATGCGCAGAGAGTAATGAAGCTAGTGAAGGAAGGGGGGCAGAGAGAGAGAGAGAGAGAGCTAGCTGTTGATAGATAAAGAGAGCTGCTGCTGCTGCTTATTATCTCATTGCCAGGCTCGCTTCACTCATTTTGTACAGCCTACACAGTGACTCGTGTGCTTCAGCACCAACTTCATCATCATCATCATCATCAACAGCTTCATCATCATCATCATCATCATATCCATTTAGATTTCCTTTCTGCACTTTGCGGCTGAACAAATGCAAATTTACTCGGCCCTGTTGCCAGGCCAGTCTCCGCTTTATATGTGCATATATACACATATGCATGTGTGTGTGTGTGTGTGTGTTTTAGCCATGGCTTTGAGTTGCGGCTGCCAATGCTCAGCTTCACTTTGTGCATTGTTTTCTTGCTTTTGTTGCTGTTGTTGTTCGTGATTTGGTTTTACATTGCCGTGAATTTATTTGCCGCTGTTTTATGCAAATCTGAAATGTTGCTTGTCGCTGCGGCAGTTGCTTCATTAATTGCTTCATTCAATTTGAGGATTGCGTTTCCACTGCGGATGTTGCCTGTGGTGCCATCAGACCGCACCCCGCCTCCCCCTGTGCATCCTTCTGTTATGCATTTTTATGCAGCCAGTTGCCATAAACATTTTGATGACCGAAAAATCTATCAACGCAGCTGTGGCACGCAACAGCACAAACTTCTGCTGCTTGCTCTAGCTGATACACTTCCCATTTTTGGTGGCCAAGTTTTTTATGACATATTTTTTCTGGGCATGATAGCTGCAGAGTCTGCGATGATAGCCCAGCTGCACATTTGGGCAGAGTTTTATGCGGGTGTCCCATATCTAATACCCTTTATAATACTCATACAGAGCACATTTGTAATACTCTTTCAGAGAGTAGAGCATTTTCAATTCCCTTTCAGAGAGTAGACTACTTTATACAATTATACATTTTAATAATGTTTTATATGCAGCACAAGCCAATTACGAGAAGGTAATCAAATGAAGTAGAGGCTACGATCATAAATATCCATATTATTGCAATAAATACGAACGAACGTAAACTGAAAGTTGTTCTATAAACAAAAGATTTGTTAACAAGTATTATTCCTAGAGTGAAGGGTATTTAATTTTCGACTCAGATTTCGTTTCTCTTCTTTATGTTTATCTTTTGATTTGAAAACTATGAATCTTTAAAGCAGCCCGGGTTTGTTTATTATTCACACCATTCAGCGCAATGAACTTTTCACATTTCAAGTTTAAATGCCCGCCAGGCACTTTGCTTAATAAGTAAAGCACGAAAGCAGCAGCAAAAAAAATGAATAAAAATAACAAAAATTACTGTTAGCTAGGTGCATAAACTTGACACTAGGAATGAGCTACCTATAGGCTCTAACACTAAGTAGTAGTATGTATCCAAGTGCCTGACTGTCTGCTCTTACCCGGCTCTGATTCCCCGTGTGCACATGTGTGTGTGTGGGCTGCTTTCTGTGTGTCTAGTTGGCTTTTGATTA